TGGGAATGTACCAGGTCCACGGTCCTACTCTGGAAATTATCATGCATATAATGGACTCTGGACTAGGCTCGTTCCTCTCATTCTTCCTACCAATATGACCAAGTTGCGAAAACAAGGTCAGACAACTTCCATATTTGTACACTTGGTTTTCCCGGTTTTGGAATGAAGAATATCTTGAATCCGATAGACCAATGCAGAATAGCCAATAATTTGATTTTATTCGAAACCATTGGCAAGGGCAGAAAACACCAATATTTATAAACTACAAATGTTAATTATTTTGCTGCAGTTGCTAAATTTTATTTTCATACAAATAATAACATTTAATATGGTGACCTACAAGAAAGCATATTTACTAAAAGTCGTTTATGCATGCTAATTATGCTCGCCAAATACAGATTCTTTGTTATTCGAATAACTTTGGTGCAGATCAAGTATTCTTGTGCGAAACAGTGGCATGAAAGAATCAATAGTTAAGCGTGATAAATAATAAATTGCAAAAAGTAAATTCTAAAAATCATTCTTACGTAAAAAATGGCTCAAATCAGTTACAAATGAATATTACTGCGAATTGTTTAACGTCTAAGAATAAGAATATTCATTGTAAGTCAACTAGATTCAGCTAGTTATGCCGCCTCTCATCGACGACGCCGATTAGGATACCGGCAAAACGTTTGGGAATGTACGGGTTCAATGGTCCAATGATAGAAATCACGAATAATATGACAGAGAACACAGGACTAGGCATGTACCACAAGGTCTCCCTGACGCTCCGAGCAATTTGCGAAAATATGTTCAAACCAACACTATAAAGCTAAAGGAGACTGCAACCAAACAGGCCCATTTCATCATCTTGGTCTTTATATCTACGATAAACTTTATTATAGCCATTTACGATCTCTGGTAACAAAGTATAATGCGTAATGATATGAATATTCAAGGACAACAATATTTTGATAAGTAGGCATTTGTAATCTAGAAGACCTAAGATTATTTCCTGTTACCTGATTCTCTTTATACGAAAAATTTTGTTTGAATCACGTAATACAATTCTTAAAAATTTGTAAATGCTTACTGAACAAATAAATTTGGTTAAGGAAATATATGCAAGCCCAAAATATCCTTTAATGAACAAATCTTAACCCCTAGTGAAAGAGGTATATTGGAAATAAAAGATCACGAGGGGTTTATGTAGATATGAAGGCAAGCTATGTTTATAAAAATCGCTTAATAAATTCATGTCATTGAAACTTTCATTTTGTTCGAAACAGTAAGTGGAATGGATTGATTAAGTGGCCTCGCCAAAAGCCGAATGAAGAGTGATTTTGAGTTGTGTGAAGCAGACATTCGCTTACTTTGACGAGACCACGATTAATCTGCGCTGAACTTTCGGCTGCGAAAATTTATTAAGCAGTGAGTAAAGATAAATTTTTGGTAAATTTTCGAGAATTTTACCCCTTTTGCACTCATGATGTCTATTCAATGATAGATGAAAGCTGAGCGCGGATTAACTGCAGTCACATGATGGTGTGTTAAGGCCCAATTAGATCAAATCCACAATTAAAACTCCAAGCAGATCATATTTCGACTTCGGGTGAGGTCAATTAACCAGTCCCTTCTACTCGCCGTTTTATGTCAAATAAAGAGTTTAACAACATAAGAAAGAATATTTCGTCCAACATACATACCCAGGGTGGGCAACTTGATCAATGTTGGCTCCTTAGCAGGAGAGCAACTATTGCTAGAAGGCAGGATAGCCATATTTCTTGAGTAAAGCAAGGTTTCGAGAACGTGACTTCCAGCTAGCGGGGCCTGTGGGCAAGTTGACTGTAGCAAAAAGCTCGAGTTAAGCGGCCTCCATTGGCTAAGATGCTGGGACAGAGAAAGGCTACTATCGTGATTTAAGGCTTTTTTGACAATTGAAGGTTCTAAAATTGGTGAAGATGGTAACGATGGTAAAAAAGTGGTGTTTTGTAGGAGGGCGGGTGAATTGATGGTAGGGTAAAATGCGTGATCTGTTGTGGAAGAATGGGAGGGATGCAGCATGCTTATCACTTCATTGTCTTCCTCCTTGTCGTTTCGAAGAGAAGAAGTCCTATAGGCATAGTCTGGTTTCATGGAGGTGGCAAAAAATTGAGAAGTAAATTGGTTTTCATTTGGAAGATTAGTAGAATATTGTTCATCTGAACAGCTAGCTGGCTGAATGGCGATTGTTCGGTAACGATTTGTCAGATTGTCGAGGTCGGCTAGCAAGATTTCTTCTTCATCAAGACGATAATTCTTCACATTGGCTTCCGAACTGATAAAATTGGAGATCTGAGGAAAATTGGGGATTTCTGGAAGCTGGTCCAGCAGAAAGAGAAAAAAATGGATTTCATCAATTGCCTCCACTGCGGAACGGCTACCGTAGGATGTATTACTAGCATTGGTTGACGAACACACAGGAGACGTGTGTAAAACTCTATGGCCCGAATGCAAAGCCTTAATAAACCACTTAATATGTATTTCGTCTATCCAAGAAGCAGTTGAAAGACGAGCATCTTCAAGAGCCAGGATGCTATCTAAACCACCGGTATCTGGAATAGATGGCTCTTGTGGAGATGTAGATTTTATGCCTAAAGCAGATGGCTTCGAGCCAGATGTCTCTTGGTTGACTTTTGCATCATTTCTGATCAAGTGTTCCTCTGTAAAATCGCGACCTATATTGTCCACTCCAGCTCCTATGTTAGAACTCAAATCATCTATGTCAAGGCAACTGAGGCAGTAGATCGAATTTATACGCTTAGGATCAAATATCGACGAAATGCCGATAGGCCTTCGAAGTGCCCCTGACTCAAGTTCATTGTCAGAAGCTGAAAAACATAGCTCCGGATCGGAGCTTGCTGATATCCGCCGAGTTACCGCTTCAAATTCCACTGCAGCTTCGTCTAGGCTGAGCGAAGAGAGCTTGCGCTGGCGTGATCGTGGACACTTGACGGTGGTCTCGGAAAGCAGAGTGTCTTGGATAGCCTCCTTGGCATCATATGAATGTACAAATTGTAGCTTTAAATTGCTTTTGTCTCTGACTTCTGGTCTCGAAGGCTCTGTGGTGACTGACTGACCACGATTAGCTGACTCCAAATAATTGGGTTCTTGAAAAGAGGCAGAGAAAAAAGATAATTTTCATGAAGGATGGATAGTAAAACATATGAATCAGTTTCTAAATAAGATTATATTAATCCGATATCCAATGGCTTTACAGCCTAATTTGCTATAGCTATTGGTACAAAATCATACTTATTACTAATTGTCCGACTCATATAGCTATTTGTTTCAAATAAATCACATGCATTCCTTTCAATAGAAGAGTAATTAACACAAATTAAGAAATTATATTATTCAGAAGAGGCATTTGGTCAATGATAACTCATTAACTAAATCCCCGGTAAAATATAAGTACAAAGCTTTATTAGTATTCATTTAATTAAGGTGCCAATTAATCGTTTCCCATTAAAGTGTGCCAATAAAATTAAACGAGTGGTTGACATATTTTTCATAATACATATTGATTGCTTTTGTCGTCAGATCAATGTATGCATTATATAAAATTAAACGGGATTCTCTTGATTTTTATTATATTTTATCCAACGTCG